GGTGTGATGTGAGTTCATGAATTTCACGCAATGAAATTTGCTGAGATAACATATGAAATTTGCTTAAAACGCATACATATGCAATGTTATGTTTATGTTTACCCTTTAATGCTGAATACTCTCAATTTCTGTGCACACAAAACAAAACAAATTTCACGCTCATGAGAGTTCATGATAGTGTATACTGAGCTAATAGTGTAAATAGGCCCGTTGAGATCGTGACGTATGTTGTTAAATATTTATAATGTAAACTGAAAATTAAAAATGTGTCTCCGTTATTTGTATTTTAACTTAAAATGTTGGTTTTTGTAAATTTCATCCCTAATTTGTACGAAAATGCAAATTCAGTAAGTGGTCTTAAATCAATTGTTTGATAAGTTTTGCGCCAACTTAAAAGAGATAATATGCACGGGCTACACAAAAAATATGTTTGTTGCCAAAATATATATAATTAAAACAATTTATTTTGAGAATTTGGTTAACTTTAACTTGTAATTAAAGATAAAAAATTAAGCTGATCCTATTAATAAAATAAATTTTTGTTGTTGACGAATTAACAAAAAATTAAGAACTAGATCATGAGTTAATCGCTCACACCTGTTGCTTAATTTCTTGGTTGACGAATCAACAAAAAGTAAAAATTATTATTATTATTATATTACTATTGCTTATTAAGCAATTTGTGCGAATTAAGTAATAAGTTATTTTATTTATTGTATGTTTTGCAATTACGGTTGCATTTTATTTTGTATAAAAGAACAAATCAATTTAAATAAAATCAGTTGTTGAAAGTAAATCAACGTCTCACCAATCTTTTATTGTTTCCCCCCACCAGTGGTAAGGGACATAAAGATTGTTAATGAACATTCTTGTTCATTTTTGGTCCTTCGAGCCGGATATTTAAAGTTTCCCCCACCAGTGGTAAGAGTTTCAAATATACCTAACAAAGAGACTTAAGTCTAAGATTGAAGTTAATAAAAGAGTACCGAGGCTTTAAACATCGGAGTGAAGTTAATACAAGCGTACCGAGGCTTTTAACATCGGAGTGAAGTTAATACAAGCGTACCGAGGCTTTTAACATCGGAGTGAAGTGAAAGCAAACGTACCACCGAAGTGAAACAAGCAGAAGTGTACCGAGGCGCTTAACAAATCAAATCAAATACTAACAGAGGACATCATGGAGATCGAAGAGATAGATCAAGTTATCCAACATCAAAAGGACATTGAAGGTGAGATCCAGAGGATCTGGATAAATTTTAAAAAGGATTCTTCTACAAGATATTCAAAGCAGTATTTTGAGACTCGTTTGGAAAATTTGCGTCAGAAATGGAACGCATTTGAAGACAACAATGATATATCACAAAAAATTACTATGGCCAGTTACAACAAAGACGGAATGAAATCGAAAATCGATTTAATAATGAATTGGAAATAATAAGGCAAATGGAGCAAAGGGAATCTCAAGTTTCAAGGCATCAAGTTATAAGAGGGCAAGAAGAAGCTCGGTCACCAAGGAATCAAGACATAAGTATCAATGACGAAGTCGCCATCACCGGGCCATGTGATATTACGAACAAACGTTTAGCAATCTTAAGTACAAGTCTGTTGCAGATCAAAGAGACAATAGACTTAACGAAAAGTATTGAAACGTTACAGTTAAAATTGGAAAAATTGAAGAATTGTTGGGCAAAGATCTCACAATTAAACGATGAATGTCTGTTTAACAATGATGAAATAGACCAAGGAGATTTCATTCAACTGGAATCGATATACGAAGAAGTATATATCCAGTTACAAGAAGAACTGAACGTTCGCAGTCAAAACGTTTCAGAAACTAGAACAACCGTAAGTAACAATATCAAACTACCACCGTTGAATGTACCAATATTCAATGGCAGATTTGAAGAGTGGTGTCCATTTTAGGAATTGTTCGACCGGTTAGTTCAACAAAGCCATAATCTAGTGGATGTAGAAAGAATGCAGTACTTAAAAGGAAGTCTACGGGGAGAAGCCGCCAGACTTATCAATCATTTAACAATAACAGCGAACAATTATACAGCGGCAGTTGAACTACTGAAACAAAGATACAACAATCCAGCAATACTTGTGGACAATCTTATCAATAAGTTATTGTCGCTCAGAGCTATAAGAAACGAGAATGCACAGGATTTAAAAACAGTAGTGGATTCTTCTAGAGAAGTGTTATATGGTATACGTAATTTAAATGTGGACACTAATTATACAGATACTGCTTCCAAAATTAGATGGTGAAACCAGAAAATTATACCAACATTCAAGAGGGGCATCAACACAAATACCAAAATTGAGCAGCTTATACGAGTTTATCGGGAGCAGAGTTAGAGGATTGGAGGCAATTCGAGACACAAATCGCGAAAATAAGAATAATTTTCGACCAACACCAGTAAATACAAAAACGCATGTAAATACAATACATACGCTATGTTTAGTGTGTAATGGTGACCACCAATTAATTCGATGTTCAAAGTTTCTGAATATGAAGGTGCCGGAACGTCGTGAAAAGATTATGAGCGCCAAATTATGTTTTAATTGCCTTCAGAGTGGGCATTTTAGTAAGTTGTGCTTGAATAAAAAAAGATGTGCAATTTGCGACAAAAAACACCATCAACTTATTCATGAACAAGTTAAGGGCAAACCAACATTCACAAATAACATAAGTAAACAGAGGATGCCAACATTGAAGAACACCACAGAGACCGAAGTGGCAGCGTCGTACAACATCCAAAAGGAAAAAACTGTTTTACTAGCAACAGCAATGGTAATTATAAGGACTAAAAAACAAGTTAATCCAATACGAGCGCTTCTTGATCAGGGATCACAATCTTGTATAATAGAACAATTAGCAAGATCAATTAGAGCACCATTGACCAATTATCAAACTCATGTAAAAGGTATCAATGGACAAACAACAAGCGTTATAGCCAAATGCTCATTAGAAATTCAATCTATACATGATGAAAATAAGAGCTGTCATATCGAAGCAACAGTGTTACCAAAAATCACATCAAAAATGCCAAATGCAGAATTCACGCCAGGAAAATGGTCGCATATTGATGGATTGCAGTTAGCAGATCCTTGGTATGCTGAACCAAAGGAAATACAATTGTTAATCGGGTCGGACGTGTTACCAGAAGTGTTTAAAGAAGGATTAATTAAAGGGCCAGACAACTCTCCAATGGCTCAAAACACATTATTTGGATGGATATTATCAGGACCTTTAGATGTAGAGCGTACAATCACAAACAAAATAATGTTATGCTCCGTAGCTTGCGAAAACAGCGACGAGTATTTAAAACGGTTTTGGAAATTAGAGGAAATTTCAAATGCAGACTTAAGAACAGTAGAAGAAAGGCATTGTGAGAGACATTATGATTCAACTTGCACCCGCGATAAAACAGGACGATACATCGTTAGGTTACCACTGAAAAATGATCGAGAAACGTTAGGTGAATCCAGAAAGATGGCATTAAAACGGTTCTTTTCATTGAAAGAACGATTTAAGAAGAATCCAGCACTAAAGCAAGAGTATGTGAACTTTATGCAAGAGTATATCAAGCTGGGTCATATGAAGGAAGTTAATGAGAAACCAAAGACAAAGGTATATTATTTGCCGCATCATGCAGTTATTAAAGAAGACAGCACGACAACAAAACTTCGAGTGGTTTTTGATGCGTCCGCAAAAACGACATCAGGGCAATCACTGAACAGTATTATGATGACAAGCCCTACGTTACAAAAGGCAAATACTGATTCATCATGATGATAGAGATCTTCAACGAATTTTATGGAGAAACAATCGGAAAAAATCAGTAAAAGAATATAGATTGAACACGATTACATACGCTACTGCATCAGGACCATATGTTGCCATCAAGACGTTGTTTAACCTAGCAGAAGACGAAAGAATTAATTATCCTTTGGCAAGTGAAACCTTAAATGAAAAATTTTATGTAGACGATTGTTTGGGAGGCGCTAATACGATTAAAGAGTGTAAACAAGTACAAGAAGAATTAATCCAATTATTGCGGAAGGGAGGTTTTAACTTAAGAAAATGGGCATCAAACGAACCGGAAATGTTGACGAATATCCAGATAAAAGACATTGAACCAGGGTTAGAGATGCAATTTAACAACGACCAAGCGATTAAAATTTTAGGAATAAAATGGTGTCCTAAATTGGATCAATTTGAATTTAAAATAAATACCACGTCATTCAGCTCAAAATACACAAAAAGAGCAATTCTAAGTGATGCTGGAAAACTATTCGATCCATTTGGTTGGTTGTCACCTGTAACCATTAAAGCAAAAATTATGATACAAAAATTGTGGATGCTAGGAATTAGTTGGGATACAGAGATCCCACCCAATCTACAGGCACAATGGGAAGAATTTAAATTGAGATTACCTGCAGTTCAGAAAATAACCATGAAAAGATGGACACAACATTCAGAGAATAGTTTAATCGAGTTACATGGATTTGCAGATGCGTCAGAAGCAGGATATGCTGCAGTTGTATATACAAAGGTTATCAATGCAGAAAAGGTTACAATATCCCTAGTAGCATCAAAAACCAAGGTTGCGCCTATTAAGCAGGTATCATTAGCCCGATTGGAGTTATGCGCAGCTGTGCTATTGATAAAGTTGATTAATTACATTCAGAAGAATAACAAGATTACCTATAGTAAAGTTATTGCATGGTCAGATTCAAAAATTGTATTAAATTGGCTAAGGCAATACCCAAATAGATGGACTACGTTTGTAGCAAACAGAGTATCGTATATTCAGGATACGTTTAAGGGGCAATTTAGATTTGTTCCAGGAAAAGATAATCCAGCAGATATTCCATCAAGGGGAGTATATGGTGACAATCTTATTTCAAATATATTATGGTGGCATGGTCCAAATTGGCTAATAAAAGATGAAGGAAATTGGCCAGAAAATGATGAAGTAATAGATTTGAATCTTATTCCGGAAACCAGAAAATCTGCAATATGTACCGTCGTGGACGTTACCAAAGATGAAAATATTATTAATCGATTTTCTTCATTAAACAAACTTCTTCGAGTGACAGCTTATTGTCTTAGATTCGTTTATAATTGTCATAAAAAAAAATCCGAAAGAAAGATCGACAATCTGTCGGCAGACGATATCGATGCAGCAAAAATTGTGTTGGTGAATCAGGCACAAAAATGTTTTTCAGATGACATCAGACAGCTTAATCTTCAGAAACAATTAATGAAAAGTAATAAGTTGTGTTCATTAAACCCATTTGTTGACAGTGCAGGAGTACTAAGAGTGGGCAGCAGATTAAGAAATGCAGATTTATCTGACAACCAAAAGTATCCAATAATTTTACATACATCAAGTACTTTGGCTAAACTCATAATCAATCAGGCGCATATTAATACGATTCATGGAAGATTAAAATTGACGCTAAACTACGTCCGGCATAAATTTTGGATTATTCGTGGAACAATCGCTGTGAAAGCTTGCATCAATAAATGTGTAAAGTGTTTCCCGATGAAGGCAAATGGACAATCTCAATTAATGAGAAGTTTACCAACACCAAGAGTAAATTTCTCAAGGCGATTTACACACTGCGGCATAGACTATGCAGGACCATTGCACAATAAATGCTCTCAATTCTGGGGAATTAAAACACATAAGGCGTATATAGCTATTATTGTATGTCTGGCAACAAAGGCAATTCACATTGAGTTTACTTCAGATCTGACATCTCAAGGATTTTTAGCAGTACTCAAACGAATGATAAGCAGACGTGGCTCAGTACATCATATTTATAGCGACAATGGTACCAATTTTACAGGTGCAAACAACACTTTACAGAAGATTCAAATACAGAATCATCTAGCTGAAACAGGTATACGTTGGCATTTCATCCCTCCTGGCTCACCTCACTTTGGTGGTCTCTGGGAATCGGGAGTAAAATCCATTAAATATCATCTAGCTAGAATTATAGGTGACCAAAAATTGACATACGAGGAATTGAGTACGGTCTTAATTCAAATCGAATGTTGTCTTAATTCACGGCCACTCTGTCCATTAACAGACAACAGCTGCGTTTCAGCAAACATGATCCGCTCAATGATCTGGATCATCTTTGCTGAAACGATACGGATCACGTTTGAAAATAATTGGCAACGCATGAAATATGCCAGTTGGGTTTGTGTACAAAATTTTTTGATTTATGTGAATAATTTTGGCGCTAAAAAAATAAGTGAGAAAATTTTGAATACAAAAAATCTAACAAATGAAAAATAAATAAAATCTGTTGTGTAAGGCCCAAATTTTATTCTAAAATTTAACCCCACAAATCAAATGAATAGTCAAATATGAGTTTTAAATTCACTTAGTAAAAACATGTTTCTAAATTCAATAAAATTTTCCTACAGTAACATCCATTTTTATTATAAACAAATGACCCTGTAAATTTCATATTAGAGACAAACATTTTGTATAAACGAATGACCCTGTAAAGTAAAATATGTTTTGATTAATTTTTTGCCGCTAATAAAAGTTAGTTAAATTTGTTGTAACTATTTCACTTGTTTGTCTGCATAAACAAATTTAAGAAAATATCGTGCACGCATTTTTTATATGATGCAGTTATTTTATTGAATTTGATTGCAATGCGTACAACAATAAGAAATTTGTTTTGACAAATTTACGGGACCTTGTTTACTTGAAGATAATTTTTGTTTTTGCCTGTAATGGAGGGAATTTCAAATAAAAGGGCAGCGAAATTGCCAAATCGTTCTATTTGGAATTTCTCCTGTTACAGGTAAGAACTATTTTATTAGGGATGATAGTGGGAGCTCGGACTAGTTGGTCCAGGCATATGTTGATTCGTTTGGCCATTGCTGACGATCACCATGTGAATGGATGAACTAGTTTGGGTGAAGTGATAATGGTTGAATTACCTTCTGCTTGGCTTATGCTGGCGTAGGGTAATTTAATCAGTTGAGTTACCTTCTGCTTGGCTTTTGCTGGCGTAGGGTAATTTAACTAGTCATCCAGACTTCCATTTGGCCATAGCTGATGGAGGAATGGGCGACGAGTCACCAACACTGTAAGAAGGCGTGTGGACAACGAGCGTTTGGCAATTGCTGACGGACGTGGCCAGGCGTAACAGTAGGAAGGAACCCTTGTCTGGCTTTTGCTGACAAAGGTATTGCTTTATATTGATATTAGAGTTTCTAGAGATTAGCTATTTGGAATTTCTCCTGTTACAGGTTAGCAACTTGCGCACCACTGCAAGCAATCGTCATACGACATTTCACAACATTCTACACCGTTTACAACATCGTGACAGCGTTTATGACATCATACAACATTTCACAACATCCTACACCGTTTACAACATCGTTACAACATTTATAACACCATACAACATTTTACAACATGCTACACCGTCTACAACATCATTACAACATTCTACATCATTAGCAACATTTTCAACGTCGCTTTCCACAAATTGATTATATTTTCTTATTTTTTTGTTAAATAATAAACGCTACTTTAAACAGAAGTGTCTCTATTATTTTACTTAGATAAATTTTCTTATAACGAACCCTGGTATACTCGCTGAGTATACCCCAGCTATAGATAGGGCCGGGAAAAGGTCGTTACAAGTGGCGCCCGAGCAGGGACCGTGTAAAATCAAAGGAGCCAAAGATACCTGTATTGTGATTAAAATTCGTAAGTAACATTCAACGATACGAAAAAAAAAAAACAAAACGCACAGAACAACAGACATGCTAAAAACAAGTTGGATAAGGTTTGCACGTAAAGAGGATCTAGTACCAATACTGGAGAAACTGGAAGAAGATGCTACGGGGACAGTCGATGAACTCCGCAAACGTTTAAGGGATATCGCAACAGACGAAAACCATCCGGAGGAGTTGGTGAAACTATTCAACGAAATGGAGAAAAAATACGGACGCAATGTTTCCCCAAAACCAACAACGGCAACAATCGTTACACCTTGTGAAGAAGACAATAACACCACCCCTGTAAAGAGTTTTGAAAGCATTGCCAAAGTCATGGATCAGGTACGTAAGTGGGTAGTACACAACGATGGTCTATCCAATATTATGGAGTTTGTTGAGAGACTTGAAGAGTTGGCAGAGGCGTACCAGATTCCCTTAGATGTGTTACCCAAAGCAATGCCCGAGTTATTAACAGGTCAGGCGTTAGTATGGTATCGGAATAACAACCGAAGGTGGTTATGTTGGACGTCTTTCAAGGAAGACTTTTTGCAATTCTTTCTTCCTATTCATTATTTAGAGAAATTAGAAGATGACATACGCTGCCGGAAACAAATACCACAGGAGGGTTTTAAGAAGTACGTACTAGGTCTACAGGAGCTCATGCGACAGGCTAGTTACCCATCTGGGAGGCAATTGGAACGAATATATAGAAATAGTCTGCCAGATTACCAACTGCATATCAAGCGACGTGAATTTTCCACATTGTCCGAACTGATTCAACTTGCCGAAGAATTTGAAAACCTCCAACAAATGATCCACAAAGAGCGAATGGGTGTCGTACGGAACGCAAGGGGACCTCATGAACACAAAATATCACAACACACAGAGAGAATCAACGTCCACCTCGCATGCAAAAGGTGTAGTGAACCAGGACACTTTGCATATACGTGTAGAAGGCCGCAAGTACTATTCTGCTGGGTTTGTGGCTCACGAGGAGTAAGGACTAAGGAATGCTGTAAACAAAATCGTAACGTAAGCAAACAGGGAAACCAACAAGAGACTGTCCGAACGAGGGGACAGGCAGTCTCCCATGCAGTACAAGTTCCCCAATAAACAGTCTATCATACAATCAGCACACGATATCGGCGGCGGTTACCATTGGAACAACGGCAGTAACGGCCACTATCGACACTGGTGCATCTAGAAGTATCATCGCTGGAAGTCTCCTAAGGGATCAACACAGTTTTGGGAGAGTCACACCTACGAGTATGGTCATCTTACTAGCTGATGGTACGACGCAGCACATTTCATACGTATTAGACAGCCAGGTTGCCTTCGGTGATAGGTCTTTCGATCTATCTTTTCTCATCATGGAAAGATCAATTGACAACGTGATTCTGGGTATGGATTTCCTCGCGCAGGCACAGACGACTCTGCGGATCGCAAATTCATCAGTCACAGTTGATCTTCCTGCACAACAGCAGCGTTTCACAACTTTGCTACACACAACTGAGATACCCAACGATGTCACTCCCAAGATGCAATTTAAACAACGACAGGAGTACATTATCCAACAGCAACAGCAGCGCGTTAATCAACAACAACAGCAGGTTACTCAACAGCAACAGCAGCAACTTAATCAAAAGGAACAACAGCAACGCGTTAACCAACAGCAACGAGTGAACCAACAACAGCAACAGCAGCAACAACAAGAACCACTACCACCCATAACCGTCGAAGATCAACAGCAGTCATGTGACTACACCGCTCCGGATCCAATCGCAAGAGAGCATTCATCCAAAGGTACAGCTATCAAAGAATTTCTAGAAGTGGAGCTGGAACAGTTTAACGATATAACAGGCAAGAGCAACGTGGCTTATCACATTATAACCATGAAGGATGACCACCCAGTAAAACAGCGTTACTACCCAAGAAACCCAGCTATGCAGGCGATTATAAACGAAGAAATCGATGAGCTTCTCCGAACGGGGTGCATTGAACCCTCCAGTAGTCCATACAGTGCACCAATCGTATTGGTTAAGAAGAAAACCGGTAAGTGGAGGTTATGTGTCGACTATAGACAGTTAAACGCAAAATCTATCCCGGACGCATACCCATTACCACGGATTAGTCACATTCTGGATCATCTTAGAGAAGCTAAAGTAATAAGCAGCCTGGACCTCAAAAACGGATACTGGCAAATACCAATGCATCCGGATAGCAAGAAGTTTACTGCTTTTACGGTACCAGGACGTGGCTTATTCCAATGGACGGTTATGCCTTTCGGATTACACTCTGCCCCAGCAACTTTCCAACGCGCCTTAGACTCGGTAATTGGGCCTGAAATGGAACCATTCGCTTTCGCCTACCTGGATGATATAATTGTTGTGAGCCGTAGTAAGGAGGAACATATGACACATCTACAAACGGTTTTAAAAAAATTACGTCAAGCCCAACTGAAGATAAATCCGGAGAAATGTGAATTTTTTAAAACCACGATGAAATACCTAGGGCACGTGGTCAGTCAAGAAGGAATACACACAGATCCAGATAAAATTTCCGCAGTACAACAATTGGAACCACCGAAGACTCTGAAGGAGCTGCGACGCTTTCTGGGAATGACTTCTTGGTACCGACGCTTTGTAAAGGATTTTTCAACAGTAGTACACCCTCTTACGTCGTTGTTACGAAAAGGAAAACATTGGAGATGGCAGGAAGAGCAACAGAATGCATTTGAGGAACTAAAGAAGAGGTTAACTGAGGCTCCTATCCTGCAATGCCCCGACTTCTCTAAACCTTTCTGTTTGCAGACTGACGCTAGTGACTATGGACTCGGTGCCATATTGACGCAGCAGCAGGAGGGAAAAGAAGCAGTGATAGCCTACGCAAGTCGACGGCTGAACAACGCAGAAAAAAACTATTCGCCTACCGAAAAGGAATGCTTAGCAATTGTCTGGGGCATTCGTAAAATGCGACCGTATCTGGAGGGGTACAAATTCACTGTCATCACTGATCATTTATCTCTAAAGTGGTTAAATTCTATTGACAACCCTACGGGACGCATAGCAAGATGGGCGCTTGAGTTACAGCAGTTCAACTTCACGATAGAATATCGCAGAGGTAAATATAATGTGGTGGCTGATGCGCTATCAAGGCAACCAGAGGACAAGATCTTAATGGCACGAACAACGATGACAACGACGAAACAGGATTGGGTAATCCAACGGAAAGAAGCGGTTAAGCAGAATCCACAGAAATATCCGGATTATATCATCGAGAACCAGAACCTATACCGACACATTCCGAATTACGCCCAAGACGATGACATAAAACCATGGAAGCTCTGCATTCCCTTACACTTGAGACAACCGGTCCTTCGTGAAAACCATGATGAACCGACGGCGGGTCATTTCGGAATTCGCAAAACAAGGCAACGAATAGCTAACAACTACTACTGGCCTGGAATGTTAAGAGATGTTCGTAAATATGTTCTGAGTTGCGATTCTTGTCAAAGGTTCAAATCCAGTCAACAAGCCGCTGCCGGACATATGCTTACTCAGCTCGCTGAAGAACCTTGGGCCATGGTGTGTGCAGATTTTGTGGGACCATTACCCAGGTCCAAACGAGGCAATAATACACTACTGGTTTTCATTGATAAATTTACAAAGTGGGTGGAGCTTATACCTTTGCGCAGCGCTACTACAACCTCCGTCCAAAAGGCATTCCGAGAACGAATAATGGCTAGGTTTGGAATACCGAAGATATTCATTACGGATAATGGGACCCAATTCACCAGTCATGCAGCACGGAAATTCTTCACACAGTTAGGAGTCAAACAGCAGTTTACCGCACCGTACACGCCACAGGAGAACCCAACCGAGAGAGCCAATCGCACGATTAAAACCCTAGTTAGCCAACTCACCGAAGGGGACCAACGTAACTGGGACGAGTACTTACCAGAAATAACCCTAGCCATTAATTCAACGGTTTCAGAAACAACCGGATTCACGCCAGCTTATTTAAATCACGGACGCGAACCAAGACTGCCCAACAATATGTACGATAAAGTGACACCCGGAAATGGAAACCTTAAACAAGACCTGAGCGATAAAGCAA